GAGCTGAGGCTAACGTCTGAGCTGAGGCTAACGCCTGAGCTGAGGCTAACGCCCAAGCTGAGGCTAACGCCCAAGCTGAGGCTAGCTCCCGAGCTGAAGCTAACTCCCAAGCTGAGGCTAACTCCCGAGCTGAGGCTAACACCTGAATTGAGGCTAACACCCAATATGAGGCTAACGTTCAAGCTGAAGCTAACATCTGAGCTGAGGCTAATGTCTGAACTGAGGCTAACATCTAAGCAGAGGCTAACACCTAAGCTGAGGCTAACGACTTAGCTGAGGCTAACGTCTAAGCAGAGGCTAACACCTGAGCTGGGGCTAATGTCTAAGCTGAGGCTAATGTCTGAGTTGAGACTAACGTCTAAGCTGAGGCTAATGTCTGAGTTGAGGCTAACATCTAAGCAGAGGCTAACACCTGAGCTGAGGCTAATGCCCGAGCTGAGGCTAACGTCTGAGCTGAGGCTAACGCCCGAGCTGAGGCTAACACCTGAGCTGAGGCTAACGTTCAAGCTGAGGCTAACACCTGAGCTAAGGCTAACATCTGAGCTGAGGCTAACATTTAAGCAGAGGCTAACACATGAGCTGAGGCTATCACCTGAGCTGAGGCTAATGTCTAAGTAGAGGCTAACACCTGAGCTAAGGCTAATGTCCGAGCTGAAGCTAACACCGAGCTGAGGCTAACGTCCAAGCTGAGGCTAATGTCCGAGCTGAGGTTAATTCCCGAGCTGAAGCTAACTCCCAAGCTGAGGCTAACACCCGAGCTGAGGCTAACACCTGAGCTGAGGCTAACACCTGAGCTGAGGCTAATGCCCAAGCTGAGGCTAACACCTGAGCTGAGGCTTACCTTTGAGCTGAGGCTAACGTCTGAGCTGAGGCTAACGCCTGAGCTGAGGCTAACGCCCAAGCTGAGGCTAACGCCCAAGCTGAGGCTAGCTCCCGAGCTGAAGCTAACTCCCAAGCTGAGGCTAACTCCCGAGCTGAGGCTAACACCTGAATTGAGGCTAACACCCAATATGAGGCTAACGTTCAAGCTGAAGCTAACATCTGAGCTGAGGCTAATGTCTGAACTGAGGCTAACATCTAAGCAGAGGCTAACACCTAAGCTGAGGCTAAC